AGTCAAAAAAGCAAACAGGATGTTAGGAATCATTAAAAAGGGGATAGAGACTGAGAATATATTATTATTATATAAATCGATGGTACGCCCACATCTTGAATACTGCGTACAGATGTGGTCTCCTCATCTCAAAAAAGATATACCAGCACTAGAAAAGGTTCAGAAAAGGGCAACTAAAATGATTAGGGGTTTGGAACGGGTCCCATATGAGGAGAGATTAAAGAGGCTAGGACTCTTCAGCTTGGAAAAGAGGAGACTAAGGGGGGATATGATAGCGGTATATAAAATCATGAGTGATGTGGAGAAAGTGGATAATGAAAAGTTATTTACTTATTCCCATAATACAAGAAGTAGAGGTCACCAAATGAAATTAATAGGCAGCAGGTTTAAAACAAATAAAAGGAAGTTCTTCTTCACACAGCGCGCAGTCAACCTGTGGAACTCCTTACCTGAGGAGGTTGTGAAGACTAGGACTATAACAGAGTTTAAAAGAGAACTGGATAAATTAATGGTGGTTAAGTCCATTAATGTCTGTTAGCCAGGATGGGTAAGGAATGGTGTCCCTAGCCTCTGTTTGTCAGAGGATGGGGATGGATGGCAGGAGAGAGATCACTTGATCATTGCCTGTTGGTCCACTCCCTCTGGGGCACCTGGCATTGGCCACTGTTGGTAGACAGGATACTGGGCTAGATGGACCTTTGGTCTGACCCAGTACGGCCGTTCTTATGTTATGAAAGCAGTATCATTCTTTCTAATACTTCTATTATCGATTATCCTTTGTTTTTTATTTGTACTACAGGAATACCTAGGAAACTGAATTAAGGATCAGAGCTGTATTCTGCTAGGCGTTACACAGACAAGTAACAGAGACAGTTCTTACTGGCAGTGAGCTCACAATCTACATGACAAATGGGCTACAATATGTGGGTGAAACAGACAAATAGGATGGGGTGGTTGGGGGATTAGATAAAAATAAAGTGAACAGAATTTGGCAAAAAAGCAGTAGTCACAGTTCATCATTAGCTTAACCAATGTCAGGTGGGAGTCATTTGTAGGCATCCTGGCACAGACAGACTTTAAGGAGTTTCTCAAAGGAGGATAGAAAAGTGGCTTAATGAAATGTGAGGGGTAGCATGGGACAACACATGGAGGTGCTTGAGGGAGAAGAGAATGGGCGGGGTGATCAAAGCAAACATCATTGGCAGAGCAAAGGCATGGTTTGAGGGCTTGCTAAACTAGCTGATCTGATTAATAGAGTTGGGCTAAATGATGAATAGCTGTAAAGCAAAGGCACTGAGCTTGCGTTTAATGGGGTAGAGAAGGGGATGCTAGCAGAGGGATGCAAACAGAGGGATGATGTGGTCAGAGTAATGAGCCATGAAGATTATACGGGCAGAAACTTTTAAGTAGACTTGAGAGGGGCAAAAGGGCAGGTGTGAAGGCCAGAAAGGAGGAGAGTAGTCAAAGCAAAGTAGTCAAAGGGCCTGAACAAAAGCCTAAGCAGTCTGAGAAAATGCCAAATCTTTAAAATTGTATATAGACAGGAGCAGCAAGACTTGGATACAGAATGAATGTGAGAGTTTAGAGAGGAGGCTAACTCAGAGATGGCACATAGATTACAGGTCTGAGCAACTGGGAGGATGGTGGTATTGTCCCTGGTGATGGAGAAATTGAGGAGGGGGGGGGGGAACCCAAACATTTGATTTTGGCTATACTGAGCTTAAGATACTGGATGGTCATTCAAGAAGAGATGTCAGAAAGACAGGCGAAGATGCGGGATTGAATGAAGGAAGACAGGTCTTTAGTGGAGAGGCAAAGTTGTGGGTCATTGGCAGAAAGATAGCATTTGAAGCCATACTTTTGGTTAAGAGCACCCAAAGGCAGAGTGTACAGAGAAAAGAGCAGAGAGCCAAGAAATGAGCCTTGCGACATCCCATTTAGTAGAGAGAGAGAGAGAGAGAGAATCCTCCCCCCCAGTACTCCCTCCGCCCCCACTGAAGAATCAATCAAAAGAGAAGTAGGAAAGGATGGTGCCAAAACATCCTACAGAGGACAAGATTTTAAGAAGTGGAAAGTGATCTCTGGTATCAAAGGCAGTTAAGAGATCAAGGAGGATGAAGATGGAGCAGAGGCATCAAAATCAGGGTAGGAAGAGCTCTTTTAAAACTTTGATGAGCACAGTTTTAGTAGAGTGAAGAGGGCTGAAATCAGACTGGAGGAAATCATGGATACTATTGGAGGAGAGAAACTCAAGGCAGTAGTTATTCAATACATTTGGAAGTAAAAGGGTAAAGAAGATGGGATGCTAATTGGAGAGGCAGGTGTGGTGAAATGTGATTTCTGTTAATTGATTCATAGATTCTAACGCCAGAAAGGACCATTGTGATCATGTAGGCTGATCTCCTTCATAACACAGACCATCAAACTTCCCCCAAAATAATTCATACAGCAGATCTTTTAGAAAAACATCCCATCTTGATTGAAAAATTCTCAGTGGTGGAGAATCCACCAAGACCCTTGGTAAATTGTTCCAATGGTTAATTACTCTCAACGTTAAATATTTACACCTTATTTCCAGCTTCCATTTCCAGCCATTGGATCATGTTATACCTTTCTCTGATAGACTGAAGAACCCATTATTAAGTACATATAAATTATTAAATATTTGTTCCCCACATTTACAGACAGTATTCAAGTCACCTCTTAACCTTCTCTTTGTTTAGCTAAATAGATTGAGTGCTTTGAGTATCACTGTAAAGTATGTTTTTAATCCTTTA